TCACGAAGCAGTTATGCAAGTATTTACGAACGTGTACATCTTTCCCTCAACCTTTGACGGCTTTGGTTACATTTATTAAACAGTTTACAAGTATGAAAACTTGCCAATCAACTGTTGTTATTGTTATAAACAGCCTCCTGGTGCTTCGGAGCTCATTAACTGTTTGATAATTGTAAACAAAGCCGCCAAAGATTGAGAAAACATGTACAGGTTCGTAAGTGCTTGCGTAACTGCTTCGTGAATTATGCCCAAGACCCTTGTGGCTAGCCTCACCCAACTTTGCAAGAAAAATAGTCTGGGGTACGGGACGGGCATAGGCTGGTCGGGGTCCCCTGAATTCAAGAGAGAACAGCGTGTCATGGTCACATCCTGACCCCTACCACGATTTTTGGCACCTCCCGCCGGCTACATATAGTTAAACATTTTTGAAACAAAGATTTCAACATATATTTTTTCTTATAAAAATATACTCCATAATTCACTGAGCTCTGGAAAATTAGCATAAATATGGATATGAATTCATAAATATATTATGAATGTATCTTCAACCACACACTTTATGTCATCAGAGACCCATCTGTCTCTGAGGCTGTGTTTGTCTTTCTGTGGTTCTGTGACTGCCTTCCTGTTCTATCTCTTTTTGTCTGTGTGGCTATCAACCTGTCTATGGCTGTTCATGCATCTGCCTAGCTGCTTATATGGTTCTTATTTGTGTATGTCTCTGTTTTTCTACATTTGTCTCTTTTTTTTATCTATGGCTCTTTCTTTCCGTATGCATGTATATATCCTCAGTTATATTGGTAACAGACGAAATTCATCACATTTTTGTATTTCTTTTAATACTAAAGAACAAATCTTGCGATGTATAGCGAAGTTGTACCGAAGCCAATTATTATTAGCAGTTACTTGCTATTTTTCCCCCAACTCTCCTGTCAGAAATGAATTTTCTTTGCAATCTGCCTCAGGGCTCCCCCCCCTTACCTCTCTTACCTAGGTAGGTAGATAGGGAGGTAGATAGGTAGGCTCCTACCTCTCTCTCTCGCTTCCTCCTGTGTTTCCAAGTCTTACTTAATTTTGCTTTGAGCAACCTTCAACAACATATGAGGTTGTCAGTGATGCAACAAGCCTGTCATCTCCACACGTTGTACTCACCTAGTTGTGTTTGTGTGGGGGAGGGAGAGGTTGAGCTCTGGCTCTTGGGTCCCGTTGTGGCCCGGGTCTTGTGTAGTGGTCTCCTGGCCGGCTCCCGAGCGGACAGCAAGCTGGACTTGTGATCCTGGGGTCCCGGGTTCGATCCTGGACGCCGGCGAGAAACAATGGGCAGAGTTTCTTTCATCCTATGCCCCTGTTACCTAGCAGTAAAACAGGTACCTGGGTGTTAGTCAGCTGTCACGGGCTGCTTTCTGGGGGTGGAGGCCTGGTCGAGGACCGGGCCGCGGGGACACTAAAGCCCCGAAATCATCTCAAGATAGTGTGTGTGTGTAGAAAACTTAGTGTACCCGTTAAACCCCTCACTCGGGGCTTCACCTGCTGTGGACGTCAGTACAGGCTGCAATCTGCTTGTGCATAAATCTTAAATAAGGCGTTAGACAGGACCGTCACCATAGGCTATGCCTGGAATACAAACCTACAAGAAACGAATGTGTAGATCAACTTGCCGCGCTTCACGGTCATGAATAGATTTTTATGTGAAACTAAACTGCTAAGTATGTGTAGATAGAAAAAAATAGCAAAACTTTTAAAAAATAAATAATACCTAGAAAGAGGAAAGTGACAAAGAATGTTTCTGTAATACTCAAGCAGCAGCAAATGTCCTTAAAAATGGAGACAATTACTCCAGAGAAACACTACACAAACTAAACCACTCAATATAATATGTAGAAATCCAACAACAGAGACTCGTCCATGTAGCTGAAACACACAAAAACAATCAGTGTGGCGCTGGGAGTGGGTATAGAATAGCAACCCGTCCTCTTAAAAAATAACGTCACTTTTGGCTGGTATGCGCGCTATGGCCAAATTTGGACGTAATTTGAAATTAAATCGACTCACAAAAGTGACGTACTGTTCCGTTTTCTGTTTGAGTCGTCCGGCCCTTCTCGGATAGCTTAGAAGAGGAACTTTCAATTAACGTTTTTCATAACATTTTGAAACTTTATGAGAATTTCCTGCCCACCTAACCTATCAGAGGACCCTTAACTTACTGTTGTTGAAAAAAAAAATCCCAAATTTATTTTTAATATTTTTTAATTTTCAAATTACGTCCATATTCGGCCATACGGGCAAACGGGCAAAAGCGACGTTCTTTTTAAGAGGACAGGTTGTGCAAAGAGCGTGGCCCTGGGAGTAGATATAGAGCAGAGCAAGGTGGTGGTACGCACTGGGACTCCTCAGTTGCTGTTTGTCAATGAACATCAAAGGGCTGGCTGTGGTTTGCTCACGAGACTTGGGCCTCAATACTCACCATATGAGTCAAGAACACTACAGCACTATGTAAGCCTTGTCCCCAGTTACGCAAAAGTCAACCTTGTGATCAACTTGTATATTATAGTTTGTGTTCAACCAAATTATGCAATTCTCAGTGTTAGGAGTTTTGAATAGTTTAAAGGTATCACAGTTATTCATCGTCTCTCATAGATGACCGTATACTCATCATCCCCTCACAGATGACCATATATTCATCGTCTCTCATAGATGACCATATACTCATCATTCCTCATAGATGACCATATACTCATCATCCCTCACAGATGACCATATACTCATCATCCCCTCACAGATGACCATATACTCATCATCCCTCACAGATGACCATATACTCATCATCCCTCACAGATGACCATATACTCATCATCCCTCACAGATGACCATATACTCATCATCCCTCACAGATGACCATATACTCATCATCCCTCATAGATGACCATATACTCATCATCCCTCACAAATGACTCATCATTCCTCATAAATGACATATACTCATCATCCCTCACAGATGACCATATACTCATCATCCCTCACAGATGACCATATACTCATCATCCCCTCACAGATGACCATATACTCATCATCCCTCACAGATGACCATATACTCATCATCCCTCACAGATGACCATATACTCATCATCCCCTCACAGATGACCATATACTCATCATCCCCTCACAGATGACCATATACTCATTATCCCCTCACAGATGACCATATACTCATCATCTCTCACAGATGACCATATACTCATCATCCCTCACAGATGACCATATACTCATCATCCCTCACAGATGACCATATACTCATCATCCCTCACAGATGACCATATACTCATCATCCCTCACAGATGACCATATACTCATCATCCCTCACAGATGGCCATATACTCATCATCCCTCACAGATGACCATATACTCATCATCCCTCACAGATGACCATATACTCATCATCCCCCTCACAGATGACCATATACTCATCATCCCCTCACAGATGACCATATACTCATTATCCCCTCACAGATGACCATATACTCATCATCTCTCACAGATGACCATATACTCATCATCCCCTCACAGATGACCATATACTCATCATCCCTCACAGATGACCATATACTCATCATTCCTCATAGATGACCATATACTCATCATCCCCTCACAGATGGCCATATACTCATCATCCCTCACAGATGACCATATACTCATCATCCCCTCACAGATGACCATATACTCATCATCCCCTCACAGATGACCATATACTCATTATCCCCTCAGATGACCATATACTCATCATCTCTCACAGATGACCATATACTCATCATCCCCTCACAGATGACCATATACTCATCATCCCTCACAGATGACCATATACTCATCATTCCTCATAGATCACCATATACTCATCATCCCCTCACAGATGACCATATACTCATCATACTTCACAGACAAGTTGCACAAAGTCTGGCCATGGATGGACACATCCATCTTGCCCACCTTGGAGGAGACTAACTACTTTTTTTATCTCTCCAAGACTGTTCGTTAAGGTAGACAACTCCAAGATTCAAAGTTTACATTATACATAGCATCAAGGTCAACAGACACCAAGATTCACCTGAGATCTCACTCAATGTTCCGATACTTTAGTCCTCCATACAACTGGTTTCATTCTCAACTCACAATCGGGAGTCCCGGGTTCGATTCCAGATATGCCAAATCATGAAACATATATTACTGCTAGACATCGTCCCTAAACATTTGAAAATAAAGGAAGTGGTACTTCGGTCCATCCTGGAGCATTGATAATGGACCAGGGTTACCTTGTGATGATTTCGGGGGTTAGCGCCCCCGCGGTCCGGTCCTCGACCTGCCCTACTGGTTGCTGGACTGGTCAAACAGGCTGTTGGACGCGGCTGCTCGCAGCCTGACGTGTGAGCCACAGCCTGGTTGTTCAGGTATTCTTTGGAGGTGTTTATCAAGTTCTCTCGAACACTGTGAGGGGTCGGCCAGTTATGTCCCTTATCTGCCGTGGAAGCGTGTTGAACAGTCTCGGGCCTCTTGATCTACTTGAGATGATTTCGGGGCTTAGTGTCCCTGCGGTCCGGTCCTCGACCAGGCCTCCTTTTTGTTACACACCCCCAGGAAGCAGCCCGTAGCAGCTGTCTAACTCCCAGGTACCTATTTACTGCTAAGTGAGCAGGGGCATTAGGATGAAAGAAACTCTGCCCATTTGTTTACCCCCTCCACCTCTGATGTTGATAAGAGTTCTCTCTCAGAGTATCTGTTGCACCTCTGCTTTTCAACTGGGGTATTCTGCACATCCTGCCATGCCTTCTGGTCTCATGTGGTGTTATTTCTGTGTGCAGGTTTGGGACCAACTCCTCTAGTATTTTCTAGGGTAGAAAATTTTCCATTGACAACATTTCGGTCCACCTTGGACCGAAATGTTGTCAATTCCATTAATTCTAATATTTCTCAAAATGATCCGCTATGACATTTTTCTTTTTTTCTTGCAGTATAACAGAACAGATGTCGCCGCTGTCTGGGATGGATCAGAGCGAGAGTGATGGCGGGTGTGAGGTGTGTGTAGTCCGTCCATCACTCAACATTACCCAGCGGGCCTCCAAGTACCACTATTGTCCACCACCTGACCCAGGTAATGTCTGCCCACCACCTGACCCAGGTAATGTCTGCCCACCACCTGACCCAGGTAATGTCTGCCCACCACCTGACCCAGGTAATGTCTGCCCACCACCTGACCCAGGTAATGTCTGCCCACCACCTGACCCAGGTAATGTCTGCCCACCACCTGACCCAGGTAATGTCTGCCCACCACCTGACCCAGGTAATGTCTGCCCACCACCTGACCCAGGTAATGTCTGCCCACCACCTGACCCAGGTAATGTCTGCCCACCACCTGACCCAGGTAATGTCTGCCCACCACCTGACCCAGGTAATGTCTGCCCACCACCTGACCCAGGTAATGTCTGCCCACCACCTGACCCAGGTAATGTCTGTCCACCACCTGACCCAGGTAATGTCTGCCCACCACCTGACCCAGGTAATGTCTGCCCACCACCTGACCCAGGTAATGTCTGCCCACCACCTGACCCAGGTAACATACACCTTCTAAACACACGGCTGTTTGTATACCGTTTGTCCAAAGCGTGTTAGTGTATTTACCTTTCCTGAATGAAGTATGATGAAAGGCTTGATGGCTCAGTTACCTCATTTGACTTCTACACAATAGATGTAATTACCTAAGACTATCTCCATTCTAATTCACCCTACAGCCTTAATCTTCGCACTGAAGTGCTTTCTCACATCCTTAACTTCCAAGCAGAAGTTGTTCTCATCCTAATGAACCAAAACATTATATTTCTCAATTTTGTTTCAGTGTCCCGTTGTATCTTGTGTGTGTTTGGGTCACGTTTTCTCTTAATTATCTTATCTTAAGCTATTCATTTCTAGGATTAGTCTTGTAGTGAACTACTAGTTTCTAGCGGTTTCTTTCCCAATCTAGGGCAATTAGACAGTAATTGGTTGACTGCTGACAGCGATAACAATTGTAATACTCTTATTAGAACTGCTGGCGATGCATACCCCAGCACTGGTCACATGTACGTCATATACAGGGTGTCTCATAAGTTCTATATCATGTCTCATGTGTCTTGAACCGTAGGACAAACTAATGAAACTGACTGATGGTTCCAGACTTATGGTTCATGGTTCCTGACTTTTGGTTCATGGTTCCAGACTTATGGTTCATGGTTCAGACTTATGGTTCAAGACTTTTGGTTCATGGTTCAGACTTATGGTTCATGGTTCAGACTTATGGTTCATGGTTCCAGACTTATGGTTCATGGTTCCAGACTTATGGTTCATGGTTCCAGACTTATGGTTCATGGTTCCAGACTTATGGTTCATGGTTCCAGACTTATGGTTCATGGTTCCAGACTTATGGGACAAAGATCTGTTCACACTTAATCCCTCGTATCTTCACACACTTATTACTCTGTTCTCTGTGTTCGCTCTTCTTTATATCTACAAATTCAATCGAATTCACTTAACGATTTTATCATAATTCGTTCGTTGAGTATGAACAAGCCATCCAACATTGTCTTTTCAATCTTTCGAATTATTGATATGCTTCACTACACATCTTTCAGCGACAATTACATTCCTTGCTCAATATTTTAACATTGCAAATGCATCATAGATCGTCCTCTTCTACGGTAATAACTCTTGTTGATGCTTCACCAGTTTGGCATCAGTGCACGATGGTATAGGTAGGTCCAGTTACTCTTTGCAATAATATATATATATATATATATATATATATATATATATATATATATATATATATATATATATATACCGAGAGGTATATACTCTGTGTGTGTATATATATGTATATACACTGTTTATTCTAGTCCTGGATTATAGTCAGGATAAAAGTATTCTTGCTAGTTAGTCAATTAGCTGTTGTGGTGGCCTTAATAACCCACCAAACTCGATAGATATTCAGCCCAAAACAATATGAAACCCTTTATGCAGCTCTTTTAACAATATAATACTGTTTTGTTTACTCAGGTCTACTGGAAAGTATCCAAAACAAGGCTAAGAAATCGTGTTCGTGTTCCGGGAGATGTATTAAGTCAGCGGTGACGGCCAGAGTGCCCATCTTGTCATGGCTGCCAAGTTATGACTTCCGCGCCTCTCTGCTCGGCGATGTGTTGTCGGGCATTACCGTAGCCATTATGCATATACCACAAGGTCAGTTATTAATAGTTAGCCTTATTTTCTTTCATTTTTGCCCCGAGGGGCGAGTTTATTGGGCAGCGTCACTCATCCTGTGAGTGAACACACCGCCATAGTGACAGTATTGGGCAGCGCCACTCATCCTGGAGTGGACACACCGCCATAATGACAGTATTGGGCAGCGCCACTCATCCTGTGAGTGGACATACCGCCATAGTGACAGTATTGGGCAGCGCCACTCATCCTGTGAGTGGACATACCGCCATAGCAGCATGTACAACACTCCCCAATAGGAAGAAAACCCGCTGGGTTGTTCATCCTGTCACTTGTACCCAGACACAGCTGGGACTTGCTTAACTGTCTCAAGTGAACAGCTCCTCAAACAAGAAGATTAACATCTATCAACCCTTAAAAGCTTACGTTATCTTATGTTCGCCATTTAATAAATGAAATATCACCAAAAATGCTCAGCTTGATATCAACTTGTCTTCAACAATGTTTATTAATTCTCAATGTTAATGTTATGTTCGATGATGTTTATGTATGACCTTCAAAATTGTTTAATTAATTAGTATTATCAATTTTCAGGAATGGCTTTTGCTCTGCTGGGCGGGCTTCCTCCCATCACCGGGATATATATGGCTTTTTTCCCTATACTCATCTACGCACTACTGGCTTCCTCGCGTCACTGTTCCATGGGTAAGTTCGTTTAGTACAAGCCTATTTGCTAGGCTATGCTAGTTGAAATTCGTCTAACTCATTCTTGTACCTAATAATAGTGCTATTTTTTTAAATAACGTTGAGCATGGGTTTTAAAAGATGTGTTTTTAAAATTAATGTTCACATTTCTTATCATTTTGATGACCAGACCACACACTAGAAGGTGAAGGGACGACGACGTTTCGTCCCGTCCTGGACCATTCTCAAGTCGATTTCTTATCATTCCTATCATTGTTTACCTTCCTTCAAAATCCCTAATCGCAGGCCTGTGGACCTGCGCGGCACTCAGTGGCTGTAAAGCGGTGCCTTAGAGCATATGAGCATTATAACTGGTCTTTATTTCTCGCAGTATTAATAATAACCTTAATATGATTGATAGGTTCATTTGCCGTGGTGTGCCTAATGACGGGCAAAGTTGTAGGGGAACTGGCTACAATACCGGATACATCATCCCCTCTGTTTGGCAATACAACAGACAGTCTACTGACCAACAGCACCAAGACATACACACCTGTACAAGTGGCGGCAGTTGTGGCGCTCATGAATGGTATAGTGGAGGTATGACGGATGTATGACGGATGTATGACGGATGTATGATGGATGTATGGCGGATTAAGTCTTCTCATAATGATAGCAAGCTCATAACCTCTGCATAAATATGTATTTAAGACCTCTCATTCCGTTTTCTATGTTCAACTATATCAATATGCTTCTTCTGATTATAATATCAGAAACTTGCCGTTTTTTTTGTTTATTTTAGAATGAGAGTTTGTAATCATGTGAGTTATTTTCATACATTTCCTCGCAATAACCAAGCCTATCATAGATACTATGATAGAATCATTTAGGCTCATATTCAATTTTTTGTGATTTAAAAATCATAGCTCAGGAATCTCTTGATTTAAACAATTGGAAAGTGATAATATAACACTTCTCAACCCAAAATTTAACTCAAGTTATTTGTGTGCTCGAGTCATTGACCTTGAAAACAAATTAACTTTGATTTCAAATTTATACTTCATATAAAATATTTTTTTAAACCACAAGATGATCTTTTCAAGCAAGACTTGAATTCTAAATTGTTTAAGGTTGAGTTCAATATCAAATACAACACATATTACACAATATAGCAAAATATTTGATTTTTTCATATTACACATAATATTTTTCACGGAAATTACAATACCAATATAACTGTCAATGGGGGTAGAAGTAGCCTAAGCTACTCTATCCCTTTGAGATATATATTTTTTCTTGTCTCAATAAACTTACTTGAACTTGAAATATAACTTTCTAGTAAATTTGTTAGTTTGACTACAAAATAAATACCATTTTTAAAGTTACACACAGAAATCACAATAGCGTGATGCATCAAATGAACAAATCCACAAGGGCCGTAGGTTCGAACCCTCGTCACGGCCCTTGTGGATTTGTCCATTTTTAAAGTGTTTTTCCTAATTATCAATGTTTTGGTGCAGATCGTGCTGGGCCTGCTGCAGGTGGGAAATCTATGTGTTTACCTCTCTGACATGCTGGTGTCTGGCTTCACCACGGGGGCCGCCTTCCACGTGCTCACTTCACAGATTAAATACCTTCTTGGTATACATGTCAACACATACAACGGCCCCTTGAAAATCATATACGTAAGGAGGTTTCTGAACTTGTTAATTTATAACTTTCAACACATCAGTAATGATTATTTAACATCCTATACGTTAAGTGTGGGTCATGTAGGCATCATCATATTAAAGACAAGTTGAATTAGTTTATTTATGACTTAGGACCTATGCTCTGGATAAATAGCAGATGGGATACAATCACATAATGGATTTTTAAACATAAAGCATTAATTCCCAAAATAATTGCACATAAATATATATATATACTGTATATTTACATTTTACTGATGATGCGTAGATATTTCGGATTTGTAGTGAAGACGTATTTGTATTATTTAATTGAAATACTATATGAAATATAAAATTGTTGGTAATACAATTCTCAATTTGACAATTTCATGGCAAGTTAAAGCGATGCTAAGAGTGGGTGAATACAATAGAACCATTAGGATCTTTGTCTTGTGCTTGCTGAACAGTGATAATGTAGTGTCGTAAGTGAAGTCTTTCGCTCACTTCACTCACTGTGAAGGGTAAAGCAATCTTGATGGGTTAAGAAGCTTCTTGATTTGTTCTCGAGCGATTACATTCATTTCAAGAAGACTCAGAAACCACTTGTAAATTTTGCTAAGAATTGGAGCTAGTTTATAAATTATAGTTTTGTTTTCTGAATAACTGTGATAATGTTGTGAATTATTTTTTTGGAAAAGTAATTACCGTCCACATTAGAGAAGCAGTTCTACAAGATTGCCACAAGATTAGTCGAGTCGCCTCTGACACGTTCAACTATCTGTGCCGTTCTTGAGAAAATTTAACTCAGTGTTTGCTGATAATTACGCAACTTGACAATCGTGATAATCAGTAAATTAAGATATGCTTTTTAACCTTGAACAGATATTGTTAAATTTTTATGATATTAGTGGTATTTATTGTTTTCAAATAAATAAGCGGTTTATCATCAATAATACAACTTTTCAACCACTGTTTAAAGTTATTACTGATTTGACATTGGGGATTTATATAGTGAAAGATATAAATTCCTAAATATAGTCTTGGACTATATTCAAGTCTAAAGCATACTTTCATGGATTGTCAGTGAACTAGTGTCAAGTCCTTAAGCCTAACACTCAACCAAATATTTATTATAAACATCTTTATTGACAAAATTTAATTACAATTTTGTCTAATCTGAGAATTTTAATTAAAACTTATTAAAGTGAGGATAATGCTGGTATTCACTCTCACACAGGACAAAGGGTCAAACAGTCATCTGAGTCCACACGAGTAGTTCTGAAGTCCATAAGGGCTTACAGGGAAAACTATAAAGTCCACTACGGGCTCACCATAGCCCGTGCTACTTGGTCCAAAGAAACAAATAATTTTACATCATTTTTTGTTAAATAAAAATATTAAACTATGTTGAGATTTATTTAACTGTGGAATGGCATTATTATTTTCATATGTAGATTTATTTATCTCTTACAGACATATAAAGAAATCTTCAGCCAAGTATTAAATGCTAACCCTGCTGATACGATTATTGCTGCAATCACCATAACAGTTTTGGCCGTCAACGCTGAAGTTTTAAAGGTTAATATATATATTTGTTCGTTGTTCGTCTATGAATTTTGTCTCAATACTCGTATTTGTACGTTATCGTTGTTTTATGGATATTTATACCAAACTTGATCATTTGACAATACTGTACTTCATTAACCATCTTAGAAAAGTGGGTAGATGTTACATTAGATATATTACATTGTATGGCTGGTTACACTGTGACAGGACACATGGTAAGTTACACTATGTCAGGTCACACTATGACAGATTACACCTTGGCAGGTTACAATATACTGATCATCAAGACTTAACATTCTGAGAAACACTGTGCAACAATATTATAACATAACAAATGATAACATGTTCTCCCTCACATGTTATCTAGCAAGGTTTTGAAACCCATTATGACCAAGATCAATAAACTCAGATTATATTTATATGGTAGGGGAAAATAGAGCGCATTAGCACAAAATACTGCACAGTAGACATGAGATGCCAGGGTACACTCATTCACGAGGGGGAATGACAAGAGTGAATCTTACTAGAAGCTGTCTTGTAGGTTGACATCTATACTGATGACAATATTTAATTATTCTTAACTTGTGTTACTGTATGAAGGAGCTTCTTGTCTCCAGAAACAACGGGAGCATATTTTGATACAATGTATATGATTTACTTTACTATTTAATAAATAATAGTGCATTATATAGTTGGATAGATACAGTGTTATCATGTTGCTATTACTGTTATTTGATAATAAGATAACAAGACTTTTACCAATAGTTAAAGACAATTCTTTTTTTTAATCATAGGTTTTACGAACCATATTGTTCTTATGTTGCTCCAATATAACAGTTTCAAATATTTTTGTCTTGAATGAAATGTTATTTTTTGCTTTATAAGATGTTAATGTAGTTATTTTTGTCCTCAGCCCTGGATTCGTACCAAAACGAAAATTCCCATTCCCATCGAACTCATTGTTGTGAGCATTGGGACACTGGTATCATACTTGGCCAACCTTCACAACGTATACAACGTAAGAATTGTCGGTGAAATTCCCACAGGGTAAGTTTATAATGCTGTAGGGCATTGGGGGTAATGAGCCTATGGCACACGTGCCTATAGTGGCACGCCAGTAAATTTTGCTGGCACGTGTAATTTGCCGCCCCTTGATTTCTTAAAACAACATCTATAATAAATAAATATATAAAGATTATAATTCATTTCTGCCAAATGAAGCAACAAACAAGAAAACAAACATTTAGTGCTTTCAAATGCTATTTTCGATCATTATTTTCTGAAATTTCGTTTAATTGCCTTAGAAACAGATGCAAAATTAAGGTCATTTAAAGACACGGCAAAATTCATTACGTGTGTAGACAGTGTAACATTAGACAAACTGAATTTGGAAATGTTCCAGTCGCCTGATTTGGATAATTTTCATATTCAATTAATTGATTTACAAAGGAGCTTAATTTGGAGGCAAAAATTTGTCGACCTAAGAGCTGTACTAGAATATATTGAAATAAAATCAATTAGTGACTGGATTAACACAAAAACTCATGATAGTCACAGGTCTAGGTTTTGCAGACTATTCAGAATTATAACATAATAGTATATGACTTTTTTCTCAACAGGTTACCTGAGCCTACGCTTCCACCTTTCGAGCTGATGCCTGCAGTGGCTGTTGACTCCATTATCATCAGTATTGTAGCCTACACTGTCTCTTTCTCTATGGCCAGGATATTTGCCAAACGTCACAACTATAATATTGATGCAAATCAAGAACTTTATGCTTTGGTAAGACTAAATGTGTGACTATTTAAACAAATATAATATTACAAATAAGGTTTGAGTGACATATTTTGATAACGTTTAAAAAATTTTATGTAAAATACACGTATGAAATAAATTTTAGAGCAAAATCTGCTTAAATAAAAAGTATTTGTGAAATACATCAATTAATGTTAGGTAAATAATGCTATAAAACCTCTTCACGTTCAAGTTCAAGTATGTTTATTGAGATTAGCAATAAATACATCTCAAAGGGATAGAGTAGCTTAGGCTATTTCTACCTACAACCTCTTAGTGAATGGGAAGACTCAATGAGGGTGCATTATACTATTAATTGGGTCAGAGTTTATACTGTATGACATACATTCAACAATACAGGTCAAGAGTTCTACCATCACAACCAGAGGTATAACCCCTATTTTATGTTGCTGCCTTGTGTAGCCTCAGGGGATCAACGGCCCAGCGACCTTTCTAACCCTTATAAGTGCTTGAAATGTATTTGTATTGGCAGGGCGCGAGCAATGTGTTTGGCTCGTTCTTTAGCTGTGCTCCCATTGCTGTGTCGCTGGCTCGGTCCCTGATCCAAGAAGCTGCCGGAGGAGTGACACAGCTCACGTCTTTCGTCTGTTGCTTCATCCTCCTCTTTGTCCTACTGTTTATTGGTCCGGTGTTTGAAACTCTACCAAATGTGAGTATTTGACGTTCTTCAAGACGTGATTTTCCCTGTTACTTAAAGAGCTATAAGTTTAAAAAGTGCACAACACTATCAGTAAAATATGTTTTAAATTGTGATGATTTTTTTTAATCACTACCACCTATCTTGCTAATTGTCAAAACCAAGTTTTGAATACATCTGTTTTTTTATTCGATATTTTTTACCTGTCTTAGCTAGTTTTAGTGCAATTATTATTTACAAACACAATAGTGTTCCTAAAACAAGAATGGAACATTTGTGTCTATCACTTAAAAGAATCCAAAGAAATTTGAAGTTATCAAACAGACCAAACTCTTAACTATAAAGAGGACTGAGGACTGATGATACCTGATTGATACTTGGTTGATGGAGTTCTGGGAGTTCTTCTACTCCCCAAGCCCGGCCCGAGGCCAGACTTGACTTGTGAGAGTTTGGTCCACCAGGCTGTTGCTTGGAGCGGCCTGCAGGCCCACATACCCACCATAACCCAGTTAGTCCGGCACTCCTTGAAGGAAACAATCTAGTTTCCTCTTGAAGATGTCCACGGTTGTTCCAGCATATAATTATACTGGTATGAATAGTTTAGAAGCTAAGGGACCGAAGAGAAAAATAAAGAATGTTTTCCTCCAATAATATAAAGATTAATAAGAAAACAAAAAAAAAGTTTGATTTGTGCTTTTTGATGGTTGATTTAGGAGCCATGATGGCAGTTGTGCTGGAGATGCCTCAGCGTTTCCAAAGAGGGAAAAAAAAATCCCTGTGGCTATATACACGTTACTTATCGGCGGAAACTAACGCGCCTTGCAGCTGATAAACACTGCAAGTTTTGGGGAACCCGAGGAGTCCCTTAGGCAAGCACCAGCCCCCCACCATCCCCACCACACACAGAAATCTCGGGGTAACCAAACAATCATGGTTATAAACACGAACACATCTTCCAGTGACCTCCATCAGAGAAGGAGCCGGGGAGGATTGACCGGGCGCCAATCCTTAACTGTAGCCTCTGTTCACCCAGCAGTGAATGGGTACCTGGTTGTTAAACGATTCGGCGGGGTCGTATTCCGGGGAAATTAGGGTTAAGGACCTGCCCGAAACGCTACGCGTAATAGTGGCTTTACAAGAGTGTAAACTCCTGTGTAAGGAACCCCAACACCCCGAGGTCACACCAGCAGGCTATCAGGTCCCGCCAACTCCCGGCACCTCTCAGCCAAGCCGGCACCGGACACCGTCTTCCCGCCCAAAGAACCAACCAGAAAATGAAGACAATCTTTTATTTTTTTTAGATATATACAAGAGTTGTTACATTCTTGTAGAGCCACTAGTACGCGTAGAGTTTCGGGCAGGTCCCTGGAATACGATCCCCGCCGCGAAGAATCGTTGTTACAACCAAGTACACATTTTACTGTTGAGTTAAACAGAGGCTACAGTTAAGGATTTGCGCCCAGTAAATTCTCCCCGGCCAGGATACGAACCCATGACATAGCGCTCGCGGAACGCCAGGCGAGTGTCTTACCACTACACCACGGAGACTGAAATCTGTCAACTTCCTTGTGAACCCAGGCGATAGGTGTGCCAGAGTTGAGTTGAGTTCATTGATTATGCACCCCATACCCATCCTGTGGGCGGTAGTGGAAAGGGTTACAGAAGCACATAATGGGTTGGCACAGTTCCCGAGAGTAACGTTAATTTAACGTTAAATCAACGTTGAGAATGTTGATATTAAGTTACACTTAGATATTGTGCCCACTGTTGTGTTCCAGTGGTTCCCAGGCAGAATATGTCTCCAGACGTCTACTGGACATCAAGATTGAACCAGGAATCCTATATTTCAGTAGCCGGTCTGTTTTTTTTTAAACTACGGGCAATGATTCATAGAAAATGTAATGCCTGCGTGTATTACCTGGGTACACTTAGAAGAAAAGTTATAATATTTAATTTATATAGAATAATTTATATATATATAGATATAAGGGATATATTGCACTAGTAATATATAAATGTTCTATTCACTTTGACAGAGTGTACTCTCATCAATCATCGTCGTGGCACTAAAAGGAATGTTCATGCAAGTGAAGGACTTGAGGCGGGTGTGGGCTGTGTCCCGGGCCGATGCTCTCATATGGCTTGCATCATTCCTCGGTGTGGTGATCATAGACATTGATTACGGCCTCTTGCTGGGCATCGTAGTGTCGCTGCTGGTGCTTCTGGGCCGATCTCAACAACCCAAAACTGCCCGGCTTGGCCGCGTTCCAAATACTGATGTGTATTTGGATGTCAACAAATATTCTGTGGTAAGTTTATCTTTTTAAGTTTGTAAGAACCTTCTTATTTGATTCATTGTTTCATGTTGTTCAGTTGTTTGAGAACACAAAAGAAATTTGCCATCTACTCTGTTACTAATTTGAGTATTGTTTATTTTAACTCACCTAGTTGTTGTTGTTGTTAAAGATTCGCTACCTGGAACAAAAAGTTCAAAGTAGCATGGGTTATGGTGAGCCCGTGCTCACCTAGTTGTGCTTGCAGGCTCTTTGGCCCCTTAGTTGTTTGAGAGAATATAATACAGAACAAAGTTACATATAGTTATAAAAACTACTACCATTTAATGAGGATGGGTTGGCTTGCTAATACTGTTATATATATTGTTACTAAGTGCACTTCATTCTATTATACTTCACACACTTGCAACGATTAATATTAATATACAATTTTTGTGTTTGTCTTTCAACAGACAGTAGAGACACCAACAGTGAGCATATTCCAGTTTAATGGACCTTTACACTTTGCAAACAGTGAATACTTCCGTCAGCAACTGATGTCAGTCACAGGTCTGGTACCATCCGCCATCTCTGCTACCAAGACTTTATCCGAAAAAGAACAGCAGCTTGAAGCAGATCTCACCACACAACTAACTAGGGTAAAATTTACGTGTTATAACCACGAAATAATATATGAAGCTATTTAAAAATGGCAGGAAAGTACAAGTCAATATGAATATTACACTTTACTGGCAGGTTAGTGTAAATACTCTTCTACCGCACTAAGTTGCAGATCAGTGTAAATGAAAACCTCGAACCCCTAAATGAAATATAAAAGTCTACCTCTATAGGTACTGAATAAAATTGAGGAGTATTGCAATAGTAAGCGACCTCTGTGTCTGAATTTCGATGTAAAGTTCTGTTGTTAGTGGAAAAAATACGAATCGTGTGTTTTAAAGATAATAAATGCTAATATCCAACCCGTTCTCGCACTTTCGTATAGTCAATATTGAATTATTAAATACGTGCATATGTGACATACTAATTTATTAAATTAAACATACTAAGAAGGTTAGGTAAGGTCGGTGTTTTCTATGAAGCTTTTCAAGGTAAACTAAAATATTCACAATAAATTAGTATGTCACATTCACAATAAATTAGTATGTCACATATGCACTAATTTAATAAGTCAATATTCACTGTAAGAAAGTGTGAGAATGGGATATCAAAGAGAATGGTTCTTGGATATTTAATATAACGCACGCTTTAAGAATTATAAATCTGTGATTTGGCAATTTGGTATACAGGTTGTGTATGAGCATGTGTCTACTCTACCTCTAACGCTTGAACAACTTGGATGATAATTAAACTAATTTTTACCACAACAAATGTAGCTGTATAAATTTAGCGAATATCAACCAGAAAATTGTAACAGTTTACTAGAGGATCAAATACGTGAAGTAAATATAAATATAATGTTAGTTTTAACACATTTCTTATGAAAATGTCATCAGTAATTTTGGCAAGTTTTCTGATAGTTTTCACCAAAAATATTTAGAGTGAAAAAATATTAACTTGTAAAACACAGTAATGATAAATATTAGTGATTAGGAATATTTATTTCTTAATATTTATTGTCGTTTTCCTATGTGATAAAATAAATTGGGAATAATGAACATTCATTCCTGGATGTAATTAATACTGTATTACTTTCTAGCAGGTGCAGTGGCTTGTGATAGAGATGAGTGGAGTGAGTTACACTGACTCTACTGGTGGGAACCTTCTCTCTCAGCTGAGCAAGGAGTACAAGCAAGCAGGAATTACCCTGTGTCTGGCTGCTCTCTCAGGTATGTCACATTTATGTTCAGAGGCAGTAGAGTCTAACCTCGGGTGTCTCTCAGGTGTGTAATCTTATAGGCAGTAGAACCTAGCTAGTGTCTCTCATGTGGCCTTATAGGCAGTAGAACCTAGCTATTTAGGGTTATCACCTTTATGTAGACTGACAGTAGAGCCTAGACTAGTATCTCAGGTGTCCTAAGAGTATGAGAAAGCAGGAATCACACTGTAACGCACAATAACGCTACTAAAAATTACACACCCATTCCATACATCTACAAATAAAGAATGTGAGGGGTGACTGTGTAAGATTAGAGCATTTAACTATGTATTGAGGAAGCTAAGAGTCAACAGCAACAAAGCCAGGACTAAAATTCATGCTGGGTATGTTGAGTTTAGGAAATGATTCGACATGACCTCGTCTGTGGAGAGTAAAAGCAGGAAATATTATTTAAAAAAGATTATTAACCAATCTACAAGATGATTAGAGTCCCTAACACACCAGAAGAAAGCATTGTTATAGTCTACAGAATTAACACTTCTTATCTTATCTGTGACTGTCATTAAGTGTACGACCAAAGTCTCCAGAGTATTGGAGAGCACAAGAGGAACAGGGAAATACAGCAACAGCATTGGCAGCAGGAGGAGCAGTGTGAACCAGATTATAATGTGGGATTAGTTTGTCGAAAAGCGAGTTATCAAGATAAATACTACCTATTAACTAAACAATTGTGTCTTGTTTGCAGAGAGTGCACTTGAGACCCTGGAAGTGTGTGGGACTCTCAAAGTCATTCCTCCCGAGTACATCTTCCACTCCGCCCATGATGCTGTGGTGATGCTCACACGGTCTGACTCATCTGCTACTGCTGATAATGCTTGCACTAAATTATAGTACCTCACTAAATTATACTTCCTCACGAAATTATACTTCCTCACTAAATTATACTTCCTCACGAAATTATACTTCCTCACTAAATTATACTTCCTCACTAAATTATACTTCCTCACTAAATTATACTTCCTCACTAAATTATACTTTCTCACTAAATTATACTCTCACTAAATTATACTTCCTCACGAAATTATACTTCCTCGCTAAATTATACTTCCTCACTAAATTATACTTCCTCACTAAATTATACTTCCTCACTAAATTATACTTCCTCACTAAATTATACTTCCTCATTAAATTATACTTCCTCGCTAAATTATACTTCCTCATTAAATTATACTTCCTCGCTAAATTATAGTACCTCACTAAATTATACTTCCTCACTAAATTATACTTCCTCACTAAATTATACTTCCTCACGAAATTATACTTCCTCACAAAATTATACTTCCTCGCTAAATTATACTTCCTCGCTAAATTATAGTACCTCACTAAATTATACTTCCTCACTAGGCCTTACAGACACTACAACTGTTATAAAATCTATAATTAACTTAGTAAATTATTATTATTAATTTATTAATCTCTATTGAAGACTTTTGAAATTCATTCTATATAAAGATTTACAGATTTTGAAATATATTACCTAAGAATATTTAAAAATAACACAAATAACTAAACTATTTATGAAAAATACAAAATGTATTCTATTTATTCCAATAAAATAAAAGCCGCATACTGAGCGGCTCAGTATCAGGTTAATACGGGCTCACCATAGCCCGTGCTACTTGGAACTATTTGTTCCAGGTAGCGAATCTTTCACATCAACAACGGCTCAGTATCTCACAGCATGAGCTCATTATTTAATTAAAGTGTATTATATAAATAACAATGTGTGAAGGTGAACAAAAAGTGTATATATAGGCCTAATACATATATATATATATATATATATATATATATATATATATATATATATATATATATATATATATATATATATATATATGGCCATACAGACTTCTCCTGATCAATACTCCTCGGAAATACTCAATACTCCACTATCATACGATTATGTAACTCTGAAACCCTTTCCACCACCGCCTATTCAATGTGCCTCTGTAACCCTTTCCACCACCGCCAAATCAATGGGTATAGTGGTGCACAATAAAGAAAGAATCAATCCAGTGCAACATTGCAAACAGTATGGTTATAATTGTATAATATATATATATATATATATATATATATATATATATATATATATATATATATATATATATATATATTTGTGTATTTATGTTTGTTTGTATGTTTGTGTATTTACTATTTGTGCTTGCAGGGTCGAGCTGTTAGCTCTTGAACCCCGCCTTTTTAACCAATTTATTTGTCCTCTCTTAAGTCTACTAGATATATTTCTCTCTAACACACACACACACACACACACACACACACACACACACACACATCCCCAGGAAGTAGCCCGTAGCAGCTGTCTAGCTACCAGGTACCTATTTACTGCTAAGTGAACAGTAGCATCAGGGTGAAAGAAACTTTGCCCATTTGTTTCAGCCTCGGCTGGGAATTGAACCCGGGCCCTTAGGACTACTACCCCCGAGCGCTGTCCATTCAGCTGTGAGGCCTCCCTAGCCTCATGTGTGTGTGTGTGTGTGAGTGTGTATGTATGTGTGTGTGTGTGTGTGTACTCACCTAGTTGTACTCACCTAGTTGTGCTTGCGGGGGTTGAGCTCTGGCTCTTTGGTCCCGCCTCTCAACCGTCAATCAACAGGTGTACAGGTTCCTGAGCCTATTGGGCTCTATCCTGAGCCTGAGCCTATTGGGCCTATTGGCCTCTATGTGTGTGTGTGTCACAATGGTCATGACATTATAGACATAAGCTATAAATATTTTTGTACTTTTTAGTGTTAAACTTAACATTAGCGGCGTAATTATGAAAGCTTTGGTTTGGTGTTGTGTTTATAGGCCTTAAGTCCAAGGCCTAACTTAAGAGCTTAAGTCCTTAATGCCTTAAGTTTGATACGCTTTAAACACATTAAGGCGTATCAACCCTGGGAGGGTTAATAAAGCCTATTATCAGTTATTAAAGCCATTTAAGGCTTTAAATGGCTTTAATAACTAAAAAGTGATGGGACGACGATGTTTCGGTCCGGCCTGGACCATTCTCAAGTCGATTCTCAATCGACTTGAGAATGGTCCAGGACGGACCGAAACGTCGTCGTCCCTTTACCTTCTAGTGTGTGGTCTGGTCAACAAAGCCATTTAAGAGTTTTCTGACCAAGTAGCAAGTGCATGATACACCTTCCTTACATTACAAATGAAAATATTGCTATCAAATAAAAAGATAATATTGTTGATTTATGATAATTTTTATACAATTACCTAATGATAATTGTTTTAAATATTGCATATGGATAATCTATTTGTTATAGTTGTAACAACATTTACAAATAAATTATATTACACCATAGTTTTGTTATGAATAAACCCCGTGTTAAGACACTGAATAACCATTCTAGGCGTTTACTGCTGATAGTTGCTTATACAGTAGTAGTGAATAGTTAACAACTGGTGAACACAATGGTCTGTTAGGGCTTATATTTTTGTGAGATTTGTATCATCACTATACAGGCTTTGGGAGTTGGAAAACAAGTATAAATAAAACGAACCCTAGTTGGTAATGGCTTTGGAGAATATTGTTTATATGTACAATAATCACTATCTTGAGGTTATCTTGAGATGATTTCGGGGCTTTAGTGTCCCCGCGGCCCGGTCCTCGACCAGGCCTCCACCCCCAGGAAGCAGCCCGTGACAGCTGACTAACACCCAGGTACCTATTTTACTGCTAGGTAACAGGGGCATAGGATGAAAGAAACTCTGCCCATTGTTTCTCGCCGGCGCCCGGGATCGAACCCGGGACCACAGGATCACAAGTCCAGCGTACTGTCCGCTCGGCCGACCGGCTCCCTCAAGGTTGCTCAAGTATACATATATTCCAAGATTGTTCTAATATTCATATGTTCCAATGTTACTGTAGTTGCACACACACAAATCCCAATAGCGCGATGTATCAAATGAACAAATCCATAAGGGTTTGAGGCGAACAAAGGCGTGTCTGGGATCATCCCGGACGTAGATTCGAACCCTCATCAAGACCCTTGTAAATTCCTTTCAAATTGTTTTGATGAGAGCACTAATGTTACATCATCAACTAGGCTAGCTATTACTGCTCGAGTTTGTAAGATAATGAAATATGCGAAGAACTAGTTAGCCTCTGATCATATTACCGGATGAAATATGATAGGCAATACTAAACGAATATTTAATCGCAAGGCCTCAGACTAGAACGTGAGAGAGCAGAGTAATTCTCTGGATTGAGAACGGTCTAGAGGCAGACTGTAGTCAGTCTAGTAGAGAGATTTTTTTTTTTAGATATATACAAGAGTTGTTACATTCTTGTAGAGCCACTAGTACGCGTAGCGTTTCGGGCAGGTCCCTGGAATACGATCCCCGCCGCGAAGAATCGTTGTTACAACCAAGTACACATTTTACTGTTGAGTTAAACAGTGGCTACAGTTAAGGATTTGCGCCCAATAAATCCTCCCCGGCCAGGATACGAACCCATGACAAAGTGCTCGCGGAACGCCAGGCGAGTGTCTTACCACTACACCACGAAGACTGTGAAATTAATTAATTGGTTAATTTTAACGAATTAATTATTGGTTAATTAACCAATAGCTTCAACCATTATTCTTCAACATGGGAAGCTACCCAGTGATAAAGAGTATACAGCTATGGGTGTAGAGAGTAGAAAGTTGCTCTTGCTTAAAAAAAATTAAAACAGTGTTAACGAACAGTCACAGTTAGCCCAAACACAGTTAACGGATTACATTTTCTGTGATCACTTATAAAGAAAACGATTTGGCACTCAAACTAATATAGACTGGTCAGTCTATATTTGTTTATATTAGATGATCAAGTAACCAGACGTAGATCAAATTTATATATATATATATATATATATATATCATTTGAAAGTGGGTCAGGATAAAGATCTGGGATAGAACGGTGGTGGGGGGGCGGGGGAGGGGGGGAGGAATGGTGTCCAACCATTTGGACGGTCGGGGATTGTGGAGTAGAAGAACTCCCAGAACCCCATCAAACAAGTATCAACCAGGTACGTAACTAACAGTGAAACAGCCGTCAGATATTCTTCCCAACATACCCTCTTCCTTCCATCTTCCTATCCTCTCTCCGCCCTATCCACCTCCCTCCCCATCCTTCTGGGATAGTAGCACCGCATGAACTGGCCGCGATGACAGTTCATGCGCCCTTGCCATCATGCGCATTGTTCATGCGCTCTTGCGCCCTTGGCAGTTCAATCTGCCCTTGCCATGCACACCATCCTCCACTATCATCACAACCCACTTAATTATGGTTGTGCTAAGTACTGTATTCATTTATTTTACTTAAATTTTTGCTACGCATTTTAGAGTTAATTTCAGTGTATTTCTTTTTCGTTTATGCTTGGATAGCTTCGAGAAATTAATTTGTTGCCGGCGGTGTTTAAGTAAATTAAAATATTTAGCCACTTCGTAATGGCCGAGGCTTGTCCCGTTGCCAACCACGACAGATTACTCAGTCTTAAATCTGGAAGTTTCATCTAATACAACTCCCATACACACTGCTACTGCCTGTATGAATTAGGTAGAATACGTAGTGAGAGGGGTGTCACTAGATAGATGTGTTAAGTATATATATATATATATATGCGAACAAGCCTGAATGGTCCCCAGGACCATTCAGGACCACCATTTATGGGGTGTGAGTTTTCAGTTATATATATATATATATATATATATATATATATATATATATATATATATATATATATATATATATATATATATATATATATATATATATATACACATCGACTTGTTATTTTACCGTATATTATATACGATGTATATCCCTACATGTGTGACTGGAAATATTAGTGTATTATTTTTAGTACCGGTGAACACATGG